TAATAATAATAATAATAATAATAATAATAATAATAATAATAATAGTAATAATTGATGATAATTGATGATAATAACACCAATAATAGATAATTAATAATAAGATATAATTAATGATCATAAGTATGTATAATAGTATCACAAAATAACCATTACAGAATATGTAATAGAGATATCGTATCAATTTCATAAATTTAAAATATTACAAACATTCGATAACTATGATTATTAACTATCAACATGCAACGATACAAAAATCGGAGTAAACTTAGGATATGTCAAGATATTCAATGACAATATAGAATTTTGAATATTTGTATTGTAATGAAAATCATCAGGCTGCCTATCTTTTGTATATACTTGTGCATGACACGATAAATACAACGTTAATAATGATAACTATTATAACACGTACAAATACTAGATTCTACAAGGACAATTCATAGAGGAACCACAAACGATGTTGAAATTTTCAAGAAGAGCATTCGAATCCCTGTGTGGTTGGAGAATTGCCCAATTATAATAATATTAACTACGTAAATTTACAAAACAACATATATAAAGATCTAAAATCACCACGTATCAATCATTTCAAGGATATCTTCCTAATTATACGTATTAATCATTCGTAATCAAAAGTTATTGAAATTTTGTGTATCTCCATTATATGTTTTCCTCACTAATATAATATGTATAATATATTAATAATAATAATAATAATAATAATAATATTAATATTAATAATAATAATAATGATAGTAATAATAATAATCACATTAAATTTTATCGAAATATTTGTAAGTTTTCTATTTTACTTTAATACGAAGAATCTTACAAACTTTTACATAGAGTTTTACATCGTACATAGGATTTTTAATTCATCACACGTTCAAATGCGTAAATTAATCGGAAGAAAAAAATCAATCCTAATGGTATTAAATTTCGTAATTTAATAAACACGTAAATTTCGTAATTTATAATCTAGGGGAAAAAAGAACGAAAGGAAGAAAGAAAGACAGAAGAAACAAAAAAAAGAAGAGACGAAGAAAGAATGGAAACATACATATAAATTATTTTGTCACGCTCGAAAATTAGGAAATAGATGAAAAATTCGAGATTAATCATTACATTAATTTAAGTGAAACGCGCGAATAATCAAATATAGCGAAAGATTATTGCGCTTTCAACGCAAATAAATTAAAAGTAATAAATGAAAACGGAGCGAATAAGAGTCTCGTGGAGAAACTTTGTGTACGTATCGAGTAACAACTTTCAATACTAATTTAATTTAATTTAATGGACAATTTATCCCTAACATAAGTAATACGTATCCGCTTCGTAATCATATCATCCGTGTACATTTAAATTACGCAACTATTCGAAAATTCATAAAACCTACTACGTATATATATATTTAATAGAAAAATAATTAGTTGGTAAAATCAGTATTAAATTGTTTTCAAATTCTTTTTTAATGTATGCAATCGTTTGCATGCCATTTCGCAAGTCTTGCTCTCGTAAACTTATATCGTATATTTAACTTGTATACTATTCGTATACGTTTCGCAAATCTGTAACTCATCGGTATACAACTTTTTTTAATATTTTCATTTTTTATTTATTTTTTTTTCTTTTTCCTTTTTTTTTTTTTTTTTTTTTTTGGAGTCGATATTCGATACGAACGACGTTTCAATTCGTTGCATTATAATTCAACACGCGTAAAATATCAGTTTTAAGACCGCTTTTTTAAAACAGAATTTTACGCGGAATTTGTTGTATGATTTTCTTTGCAACTTTGCACCGACAAAGTACAAAATTTATTTAAAAAGCAAACGAGTGGAAAGAGAGAGAGAGAGAGAGAGAGAGAGAGAGAGAAAAGAGAAAGATAAAACACTTCTCTGAAATTACATACATGATAGTTACGTGAAAGAAAAAGAATTAATATCCTTAGGGTAACGTTAACTTGATTTTGTCAACATGTGCACACGATATAACCTTTGTATCGTAGTAACAAACAAAGATTCACACACGACAATTTACACGATAGAACACGATAGCTTAATTGAAATTAAATGTATCTTGTCATCGATATGAAAATCGTGTTTGCTCAAGAAGTTTACAAATTTAAAAAAATTGCACAGCCTGTTTAAAGAATGAAATTTCCTGTACATGTAAATATGTTATCTTACAAAATTTTGACTACAACCCTCCACTCAAATCTACACGAATTAGCTCTGCTCTTTTCTCAAAATGTTAACGATCATCACAATGTGGTAAGGCAATCAGAATACGCTTTGTTATTCATCTTTTTCATCTTTTCATAATGCCACGAAGAATACAAGTACAAACAGTAAAATGTTACGATTACAAATTCTGTCGCGTTTGTCCTATTCCCGTATTTATTGCATTAGTCAATTACTTTTTACAAGTTGGCTCTGTTGTACAATTACAAAACAAATACTAGTTTCGTACATAGTACGTTATTACATAATTGCATAAACGCAAAAGACGGTATTTTTTTTTCCTTTCAACACTAAGAATTCTCTTATTTACTTGTGTGTGTGTACGCGCGCGCATGTGCATATGTACATATGTATATACACACATATACATATAATTTCATTACTTCAGACAATTATAATAAACAGTCATCGAAACGAAATACTTGAGAAATCTAATGAAAAATAAATGAAGCGT